TTAGTTCTGTGGCCCTCCCGCAACTCCATCACCAGTTTTAGGCAGTCATTGACTTTGAGCTGTAATATTTATGGTCATAACATAGAGGCACTTGGGCCCAATAGAATACTTACATTAAATTTTAATATTTCCCACAGTCTCTATAGGAAGACATTTAGATTGCAGAAGGCAATTCATATGTTAAAGATACTCTATTAAGAGCCTCTATTGAGGTACATAAAATAACTTACAGTAATGAAAAGGCCACCATTTAATTCTCAGAGGACTGTATCACCCTGTTTTCCAAATAAGTTATAGCATTGAAATCTCTCTTGGCCTAATGGGGATCAGGATGTAGCTCTCAGCTACTTCTCCAGCACCCCACCTGCCTGCCTCCGTGCCCCCTCCTGTGATGATAATGAACTAGTCTCTGAGGCTGGCAGCAAGCCCCTGTTAAGAGTTTGTTTGTTTTTTTCTTTGTAAGCATCTCCTTGGTTGTGGTTTCACTTCGCAGCAATAGGAAGATGACACTTTGACTAAAAATGTGTGTAAGAACTGGAAACACTGGTTTGCTCGCAAAGGCTGGGACCCCATCGCATTTCTCAGCCCCACCATCCCAGCCCAGCTCCCCCATCACTGTGTCCGCCTTCAGGGACTGCCTGCCTCCCAAGTATGGACAGCCCTGTCCCGCCTCTGCCAGTGTTTGTTCTCCTGGAATCCATGAGCCAAGATCATTTCTGAAAACACCGGGTAGCTCATCTATTGCATTCCCCTTGGAGTTCATGAACTGTTTTGTTACTCCTGAAAAATATGTTTAAAATACCTTCAGATGCACCCAGAACAATATTAGGTGGTTTTGTATGTGCCACAGTGTATACAGTAGGATCTTCTGTTTCATATTTTAGTAAAATCTTCCATTGCACGTTTTAAATACACCAGAAATAGTCTGGCTTTTCCTATTTGGATCTGTTCAGTATGAAAGACATGAAGCCTATAGTCACTTGACCTGACTTGTCTTCTTTTGCTTACTGTAATTGCTGTGTCTTGTAGAAGTCAATCTCCTCCTGGAATCATAGTTCTGCAAAGGGGTCCTTAAGAAGATTGTAATCACTTAAAGCTCTATCAGAAAAATGTATTCTTCCTGTGGCAATGTTCAAATGAGTTTGTTTTACTTGCCTTTAATTTACCTGATTAGTTATAAAAATGAGCAGTTTTTAAAGCTCTGTATCTCTGGATACCTGTGTGCCTGGATTGTTGCCTTGCTCCTCCAGCCACCTCTGTCGCTAGCCAGAGGTGCTGCCTGTCTGCTGGAGATAACGCAAATGCTCAGCATTCTCTGTGAATTCTTTAGCCACCTTTGCTCTGGCTTTTACAAAAGAGAGATGGAATTGCAACCTTTTTTTTTTTTCCTGGTGTGAGAGATTAAAGGTTGCTTTGCAGCTTGCCCTTTGGAGAATGCTCCTTTTATATTTGGTCAGTAAGTGAAGGCTACCTTGATTTGCCCAGGATCCTAGGAGTCACGGATTACAGTCTTCTAAAAAGTTTAGGACCAGGTCTAACTTAGGCTTAGCACAGTTGTATTAGTAGGAATTTGAGTTTGGGGAAAGCAGTAGGAAAGGATCAAATGAAGAGTACAGGACACCTTTCAAGGAATCTTCCTTTTCCGTCAATGAATGGGGCATCTTGGAAATCTCAAAGTCCACTAGAAAGAGCAGCGGGGGTTTTGTTTGATTTGAACCTTGCAAACAGTAATAAATGATCCTCACTTCCTACGTAAATTTCCAGCTTACCTGTATTTGTTAGTAATCTTGATTGCTGGACCCACTTTATTGCAGCAAGTTCAGTAGTGATCTCATAGCAAGAGATGTCCTCATCTCCACTACAACGCCCATGGGTCCTGTATGGGGAACATGCCTCCTAGGAGACAAGTCTTTGATATTTTGAATTACATTTATTGTGTGGATGTTTGTGCGTGCGCTTGTGCCACCTTGCCCTTTCAGAGGTCAGAGGACAACTTGTAGGTAGGAGTCGTTCTGTCTGCTCTATCCTTCCACTGAGTGCTGGGGATCGATCAGGTCCTCAGGCGTGGCGGCGGCGAATGCCTTTACCCGCTGAGCCATCCCGCTGCCCCCAAGGAGAAAATTTAGTGGGGTGACTCAGTCTCAACGCAGACCATTGCTTTTGAAGCTGCCAGGAAAAACTGTTCATCCTTAAAATGAAAACAACCGGGAGATGGGTGGCGAGGATAAGAACAGAGATAAAATTTGGTCTCAGCTGCGTGTCACATAGGAGCGACAGGGGTGGGGGCAGGGCGCGAAGGGTGTCTGTCCCAGGCGCCTAGGAGGAGCACCGGCCCGGCGGGCGTGGGCTGAGGGCGTGGTCGGCGCGGAGGGGCGGGGCCCACCAGGACGGGCGTGGGGAGGGGGCGGGGCCGGCGGGCGGGCGGGCGGCTCTGGCGGTTGGAGGTGGGTGGAGCCGCCCTTGGAGGCGGCACCGGCCTGGCCCGGAGGCCCGCCGCGCCCTATCGCGCCAGAGCCCAGTGGCCCCGCGGAGCCCGCGCGCTCCCGCCTGCTGGGGGAGGGCGGGCAGGGCGCGCGGGGGGCGGGGGGGACCAGACAGGCCGCGGCGGGAGCTGTTTCTCTTTCGCTTTCCCGGGCTCGGAGGCGGGCGCGCCGGCGGGCCGAGGAGCGGCGGCGGCCGCTGGGTAGGTACCGCGCGGGGGCGGCCCGGCCGCGCGCCAAGTTTGCGCCGGCAGCCGCGGCGCCCCAGACACCTGCCGCGCTGGGCGC